ATTTGATAAGTGTTAGAAAATTTATATTATTTATTTTTAAAATTACAACTACAACTTATAATAAAAAAAGCAAGATTTAATATAACATTTATTATTTTTTTTTTTTTTGCTTAATATATAAATTTAAACGATTTTTTAATTTTAAACGATTCTTTGTGTTGAATTCTATAAAACTGTTTTAAAAATTAATAGGATAATGGCAATTACATAAATATTGAATGTTGCGCTAGTCGGCAGCATATTGTGCGATTGACTTATGCATTAATTAATGCACGCTTGATGACGTGCTAATTAACGCCCGAATGAGAGCGCTAATGTTTCTGCGGCTAATATTTCATGCGAAAAGGCCAATTATTTTCAATAGTTGCTATACGAATCGATCGATCGTGCCGGTTTCTTTATTCGCGTGCATTCGTGCACTAGTAAAAAGCATACATTAATTAATAGACTAATGTACAAACATTCATTGCTAACCAAAGCAGCTTTCTTTACTCGCAAAAAGCTTAATTATTCGCGAGTCAGAATATAAACAAAAGATTTATGGAAAAAAATTAATCAAAGATTAAATAAATAAGTATAGATAAGTAATTAAATGCATAAAATATTTGACATATCAAATTTTTATGTCTTAATTCGTTAAAATAAAAATAATAAAATCAATTTTTCCAAGTTGAAATATATCGACATTAAAAATTTCCTGTTTTTATTTAAATGCATTCTAGTATCAGATAATTATCATACGAAAATACAGATGAATTATAATGAATAATAATTACTATATATAATTGATGAAATAATAAAAATTTGAAAAAAAAGCAAAATATATTAATAGATCCTCGATCACACAGAATAGCAATTACATGTGTAACTACTATTATCGTATTTCTCTCTTTCTTATGCAAGTCCCGTTTGAATAATCGAATGATAACCGCTGGAGAGATAATTAGCGGCGGGATCGACGAAGGAATTAGACAAATCGAATGAATTTCACAACCGACAATCATCATAATTTTGATCATTATAATCTTATTATGCGGATCTCTCGCGCTTGAAAATCCGCCAACGAAATGATCGATGGCGAATATTCGATAGCACTCGCGGAATGCGTAATGATCGGGTTATTTGAATTTCTAATAACGTGCAGGTCCGCGCGCACAACAAAGGCTTCGGTATTAAATTCATATTGCGCATACGAACGCATAACAAAGCTTCCGTAATTTCGCGCGGACATAAATGACGGATGATTTCGCAACACGCGAGCATCCTCGGGCAAAAATGAGAATATATGGTGTGCTACTATACTTTTTGAACACGCATTATATATCATGGGACGGTTCATTTTGAACCGTGTTTGTTATCTCTCTTGGAGATTTTCCAGAAAACCGTCCTCGCGCTCTCGCCGTATAAGGACTCGCAAGCCCAAAATATTGAGAACGCGATAAGAGCCATCATCAGAATTAATCCTCCATCGTATACCTTATATTTCTCCATCCTTTAATTTTATAATTTATTGCACTTTACATTTCGAATATTAACATTATTAATTTACGCATTACTTTATATTTTTTAATATTAAACATTAGTTCAGATATTTAATTTCATTGTGTATATAAACACATCGCGAATATATTTAATATCAATGAACGTACGGGTTCCGTTATAATTCATTATAAACTTTACAGAGATCTTTTCTCTCTTTCTCTGTCGATTGATAAATAATACACTAAGAGATATATTTCATAACTTTCCTCCCTGCGTGTAACACCTAGTTCTTGGCTCAAAGTCTATAACATATATCACGGACTAGGTATTTCTTAAAACTCCTATAAATAAGAAAAGCCCTGCCAAAGAAGTTTCTCTCTTTTCTCTGCTGCTATCGTACATCATTCATCGATATCTCTTATATCATTTCCTTGTCATCTGATTTCTTGGGACAACTATTTTGTTTTCATCTTTTATATCTTAAATCGAACTTTAAGTTACACATCATCGCATACGTCTTATCGTTTCTTCTCTTTTGCAAAAAGGAGTAATTCTTTCTCGTGAGTAAATCGTCCGTTTAACGATTTTTTTTTTTTTATTCATGTATAATATTATTTTTCTAGAACAAGATATTATATATTAACGTCTCTCACGTACGGACTCAAATCGAAAAGACGAAGTTGTGAGTTGAAAATTGACTTGCTGTAAGAGGATTGATCGTCTAAGGAACACTGTCCATTCCTTGTTAAAAAGAAATTCTGTTCGGATCTTCTGCTAAGCTATTTTCTACTTTGGAGAATCCTATTGATAGTTTACATTATTACTGAGATAGATTTTTCTATTCCATCAATGCGTGCAACCTGCCTTGCCCTTTTTATCGAGAAAAATAGTGTCCTATAGAAAAGCCTCTCTTTTCTGCAATTTTTTTCATATTTTTCGCTGTTCTTTATTAAATATTTTAGTAATTAAGCCTCGAGAGGGAGAGCAAGAATTATAGAGTGTAATTTGCAAATAACTGAAAGATTAAATTAAAACCATGTTTTTATATCTCTAAAGCTTTTTTTTTCTTTTATAAAATCTCTTCACGTATACGTGGCTTTTGTAGATTAAGGAAATTTAATGCCTCAATTAATTATAATAATGATGTATTTTCTTGAAGAATTATTTAGCACTTGATAAATAAAAATATTATAGCTACGTATATGAGATATCATATGGTACATATTTTATAAAATAAATATTTGCACATTTTATGTATGTAATCATTACTTATGTGCAAACAAAAGAGACGGGAGACTAAATTTTTTATAGCGGAAATGTGTATCGCACATTTATTCTCTTCAGTTTTTATTTACCTCTCTCGTACTTTCCTTTTTATACTCTTTCTTTATCTTTTTCTCTCTTTTTGTTACAATATAAGATATTACATTTCTAATCACATTATATGTTTTTATTTGATTAGATATCTCACTTTTGACATATATAAATTCAAAAATAGAAAAAATATGCAAGAAAATTTTCCATACGAGTAAAACAAAAAGTTTGGATTCTTTTTTATTTTAATTTACATTTTAAATCACACAATCGAGAGAGAGAGAGAGAGAGAAGAGAAGAGAAAAAGAGGAATATAAAGACAAAGAAATCCACACACACACACATTAACACATTTAAAAAAATTATTTATCTCTCTCATTCTTTGTTTCTATTCGTCTCTGTTGTACAGTTTCTTTCCTCGTACACATTTTAAGAAGGACACCTGCCTCTCCCATTGGCGAGATTAAAAAAGTTACTTGGCGAAGGGTTAACAAGCTTAAACCCTTTTACTGGGAAAAGCAATATTTCGCGAGTCAAACTTAAGTAACTTAAGACAGAAAGTGGACATATTGGCATTGGCAAAGCTTTTTCCTTGAAAATGTTTACCACAATGCGGCACGCGCGGACATAGAAACTAAATGTGGAATCACATTATCTTGCTGAGAGTATGTCTCAAAATATGGAGGCTTTGTACGAAAGAGATACATGCCTCATCGTAAATTAAAGTTCTTTGAGAACTCTGGAGGAGATCATAGAACTTCTTCATTATTGCACAAAGTTATCAGGCAGGAATTCCCATAAATTCGCTACGAATATTTCATGCGAAGCCAATTAATTTATTCACAAATTAATTCACTGCGAATAGCAGAGTTTCTAATTTCAAAGAGGGTAATTATAAAAAACATTTATTAATTACATTAAAAAAAAAAAATTGGAGGTTGGAATTAAATCTTGAAAAAGATGACAACTCTTTCACAATGTTCACTTTCAGTTCGTAGAGCGAAAAGATTAAACAAAAAATGTAATTATTGTAGTTGTCTCTGCTGAAAATAGGACAGTTTGTTTAACCAGGAGGTGGATGAATGCTACCCTGCGGGCATTTGCAACACCATTATCTTACAGACAGACATAATAAAGGCAGACATATAAAACAGAAAAGATTATAAAAAGACGGTTAAGATAAAAAAATATTTACAATCTCGGTGCATCAATGCAAAAAAATTACAGCCCGTCATAATCAGGTAATTATAAAAACAGTCGATAGCACACTCGTGTGAAATAAATAATAATACATAATAAGAAATAAAATTATGAAAATAATAATAATATTATTATTATTTATATTTATATTTATTATATTTATTATTATTTTAAAATAATATTATTAAATAATGTTATTAAAAATAAAATTGTTATCATAATATATTTGATTGTGTATGTCATCATCATAGTAAAGTAACAGCTTTGCAATAATATATACTGTGGCGAGAGAAAATTTATATACATATATATATATATATATGTACATAGTATTATTTATATAATATTCCCGCTGCAGTTATACTATATTACTGCCGATTACTGGTGCATGTTAAACTAATTGACTGCTGTCGAGTGTACATGGCTGCTGTAATGTTGCCCGCAAGCATTCGCGTACGTCCGCGCCCGTTTTGTTATCGACTTGCTCAACTCCTGGTACAACACAATTACGGATTATAGAAGACGATATTGCTGAGTCGCCAGATGTACACAGTATGTAAACTCCTCGAAAATTTTCGCCTAACTTCTTTCCCCTCAAACTATATTTAATTAAAATTTAAATATGTTTTTTTTCCCATTATATATGTAACCGAGAAAAATATTCGACTAGTTCTCCGCGAATCGAATCGATGAATGATTATTTAACTTGGCGGAAATAAAGCCCCGACGTGTTTAATTCATGAATTGACATTAGCAATGCAATTATTATTGACCTATCTACATTTATTCGCATAATTTTCATTTTATTTATCTTAAGCAGTTGTTTTTATAATGATAATTTTCAGAAAAATTCACTTCAACAAGAATTCACTTTTAATTTATTGAATAAAGAATGAATTTATATACTGAATAGAGAGCTTCTCTCGTCAAAGGGAATCGATCGATGGGTTCTTTTATCTAGCAATATTAATGAGACCGATATAAAGACGATCTTAACAACTCACCACGACTGAACTGCTCATAACTGGCGATCACCCTCTCGGCGTTCTTCCTGGCGATGTAGAACCACTCGCTGCTGTTGCTCAAGTACTTGTACTCTATCGCGAGATCCTTCACCAAGATACCGTCCTGATTGGGCAACCTGTGAGCAAACGGGCAGTAGAGCCAGCGATTTCGATACTGCAACTTGTCGTAGCAATTGCCGGCGGCGAAGATGTCCTCGTCGAACTCCACCATGGATAAGACGCTGGCGTGTAGCAGATACTCGGACGACAGCATCACTTCCGGCGCGTACTTCCAGAGCCGGGTGAGCATGTTGGCGCGATTGACGGCGAGTTCCGCCTCGAGACGGAATCTCTCTTGTGCGTACTGATCCACGACACCTTCGCCCAGATTCAAATCGGTGCCGGCGGTGCAGTTGTCGCCCAGAGTGTGCTGGTTCTCGATTATCCGCAAGAAACGCGTCACGATGTCAACCTGGTTGGCCTGCGGTCTTCTGCGAACTGACCGATCAAGGAAGGAGGCATTCGCCGATTCCTCGAAGTTCGGGTAATCCACCACGACATCCTGCAGGATCACCTCCTCCTCCTCGAGATCGCGGACGGTTTCACTGGTGTTCGCTTCAGCCGTATCGATGCCGAGCGTTTCGGTCGTGTTGCGATCAATTGCGGCTGTCGACACGACGGTCTTGTTCGAAAACATCGCTTTTCTCAGTTTACTCAAGGGATCGTCCTTGAAGAGACTCTTCAGGGGATCGGGACTCGAGCGCAGAACGCCGTGATTCTCCGAATGACGCGCTTTGATCGCACCACCGTTGGAATTTTTCCGTATTTTATCCTCGCTGTGATCGGAGAATTCAATGTTTCTCGAGTTATCCTTGGAGAAATTTTGCTCGATCAGCCGGGAAAGATTACGCGTGAGAGGAATGGCGGAACTTTCCTCGAGCGCGCTTCCTTTTCTTGCCTGGTACAGTTTGAGCAAACTTTCCAGTCCCTCCGGAACATTATCCTCGACTCGATCGAGAGATTGGCTGTTGACCGAGTTATCCTTCGAGAAATTTCGCTCGAGAAGCCAAGAATGATTATGCTTGAGCGAAACATACGTTTCCGGATGATCACTCACTCTATCCACTTGACTTTGCGTCTTGTAGTGATTCTCGCGATCCACGCGAACGCTGGTCTTGATCCTATTCACCGGATCCTTCGCGGTTTCCTCCGCCATCTTCTGCCGCGCGAAATGACTCCTCGATCTCCCGTGCCGGATCTGCGATCTCTCGACGCTCGACGCTTCCGCCTGTTCCATCTCCATCCGGAAGACCTCCATCGGTCCGATCTCCGTCGGCGAAATTTCCTTTGCGAAACGACGATCTTCCGTTTGCGAGCGCATTTCCGTCGAGCGAATCCGCACGGGACGCTTCTCTTGAGGTTCGACCTGAGGCGGAACGCAGATCCTCCCGGAGGCGATTTCCGTGGAACGATATTTCGGCGCGGGGTGAATCTCCATCGGACGGGGATCCCCCATACCGGTAACGAGATTTTCCGCGCGCGGACGATTCGCGGAATCGGGACGAATCGGCGCGATCGCGGCGGAATGGATCTCCGTCGGTCGGAAGACGCTTAAGGCGCGTTCCCACGTGACCGTCGGACGATTTTCCGATCGACGATTCGCCCTCTCCACCTCCACTTCCGCCTCGGTGCGAGCGATTTCCCCGATCGAGCGAATCGCCGCGGGACTGTTGAGCGTCGAGAGGATCTCGGCGGCACGGAATTCCGTCGCGTCGACGAGCCTGCGGTCGACGAAGGACGACGCGCGGTGGTTCTGCTGATGCCGCAGATACCCCTTCGGCTTCTCGACCTGGAGGAGCTTCTCGTAGTGGTTGCCGAAGGAATCTTGCGTGAACGTGAGCAGGATGAGCGCGCACCAATAACCTGACGCACTCATCTTCAGCCGCTCATCCTTCCGCTTGCAACGCTGTTGTCGCTTGTTACATCCGCCCGCGACGATATTTTCCTTCGAATTTGTTTGAATTTAATCCTGACATTTCTAACGAATGATCATCGTCCGCTTGTAACAGTGATTCGCAGCAGCTGCTCGAAATAACATGGCATCCTTTCAAGTTTTAGTGTGCGCGATTATATGTTTCTTGAGATTGATTTCACATTGACACATCCCCATATAATGTAGTTCTCCATCTCCTGGCAATATATACACCTATGCTTCGATATTTCTCGAGATCAATGTAATATTTCATTATTACAACTTGATTATTATTCTCGTCATATTTACACAATCTGCTTCTAATATGACGTTAATAACGTGAAAATTTTAGAAAATTACTGAAGACATATAACTTTTTTACAGTCTTCCAGAATTTCTGATCTTTAATAAATCCTGCGAAAATAGCTCTCTAACATCTTCGCAATGTTGAATTTCTTCTTAAGTCACGATGCTCAATAGATCCTAGTGACGAATAGCATCTTTGAGATTCCCATACAATCTTACATCTCTCTGGTCTAATCTATGGTCCTTGAGAGATCGTATCCTTTTATAATCCCGGAGTGCTTAATGGTCTCTCGGCATCTCTGCAATCGACTTAATTTCCGCTTGCAACTAGCACCACATTTCAGCATTTGTTTTTTGTTTGTTTTTTTTTTTTTTTTTTTTTTGCTAATGATAGACACGCTCGCAATCACTGCTCTTCGACGATGAGTCCCTTCGCGGCAAATCGATCTGTCGGTGATCTGTTTTCGATGCGGATGCTCTTGGGATCAGATCATGTGTGAAATGTTTTTACGCACGAGATAAATTAATCAAGATCCTTCTCTCTCTTGCAATAGTTCGATTTCCACACAGTTATTTTTGAGCGACTTATGAATCAAAATTTTGCAAAAATCTAATCTCGACGCAAATGCATTACTGGAGATAATCGAGAATTGGCGAATATCGTGAAAAATATTCAAAGATAAAAACCCTTGGTCAATTTCTCGGGAATATTACATCGATTTGATCTATTGAAGTAATCTCTTGGTTCGGCTGTATCATCATAACTGACAGTTTCATTGTACGTAATTATCACACGATCGTTATCTTCCGCAATTCAGAGAGCGAGAATAAAAAGTATTTCTTCATTAATTCCGACAGCAATTTCACAGGTAATTGCAATTAATTGAGATTTTCACTCAGCGATAAAACAGTCCTAACTTGTTCCCGCGTTCGTAATTCACATGCACGTTATCATAGATTATGGCACATTCACATCATTTGATAGCGCGTTTCAACGAAAAATTGGCACGTGACAAATTTATCCATATGCGTGTGTCGTCATTTTATTCTACTAGCAATTAATGACAATGTTGAGATTGTAAGCATTGTTGTACGCCTAATTATTAAGTAATATATTTTCTTTTATGTATGCTAGCCAATTATTTTTTATTTATTTAGCCAAACAAATACCGTTCATACAACACAAATGCCTAAACATGTGTATAATTAAATAAGAAAGTAATTGTAAAATAAACCACGTTTTTCCTTTGTAATTTTAATTTAAATCTCTCATGTTTCCTATAACAAGTCAATATTGAGGAAATTTAAATGTAAAGTACGAACAAAAGTACAAATGTACAAATTGTCACAATAATTAATCATTCAAATTAAATGCCCAAGTTAAGCATCCTCTTCAACCATACAATAATTATTCATCTTTTCCAAAGATATGAAGAGAAACAATATTCGAGTAACTTCAACCAAAATAACTCGTGCAAATTGACATCAAAAATCACATTCAGTTCAGATCTCATTAATGAAAATTAAATCCGCATTGGACATATTGTTCCGTAATTACGCAAATTAATAATTGCTTTGAGATAAATCCAATGCTCGAATATGAGAACTAATTCAATTTTATGCTAGACATTTTGAGGTTTTATATGAAATTTTAATCACTCGTCATAATCAGCAAAATACCAAAAATTTAATTTTCAACGAAATATCATTTTTAATCGATCAAATTAATAATCGTTTTGAAAAAGAGCTGTCCGGTTTCTCTGCAATATCGAGTAATTAGCTTGATTTCATCAATAATGAATTCTTCGAATTTTTTTAGTAAGTAAAAGTAAAAGTCAGTAGTAAAAGTAAAAATCAGAATGAGAATTCAACTTACATAGTTTATCTTGTTCTGCAATTAAAAAGACAAATAACAGAAAAAAAAATATTTTTATAATTCTTTCACAGCACCAAAAAAGATTAACATGAATTTCCTGATAATCTGCTGTCCGATTTTTATTATAGATTGATTTAAAAAATCAATTCACAATAATACGTTTCCCTTCGGAATAAAAAATCATTTTAAAGCGCATTTAATTCTAGCAATATCCAGGGCGATTAAGCTCTTTTTTCGATCACACAAAGTGTTGCATCGCCTCGCGTATATTTTTTAATCAAATATGAATAGCGAAAATCTCAAAAATTAAATACGTGACGCTGGTTTACAGTTATCTCGATTCAACAATATAACTTCGAATTCAATTTCACGTTAAATCTGCATTATTAATAGTTTCCAAACAATTATACGTGAATCATTCGCAATCTCTGATCTATCATAAACGTTCAAAATTAATATGATCGAATTAATTATACATCGACGATAATCGAATTAATATACATAACTATACATCCTTTCAATCGCACGAATTAAAAAACTGTGCATCTTTTGTGTATTCTCTCGTTTCCTAAAAACTGCATGCAATTTACCTTACTTTATATTAACTATATAACTTTTGATGAATATGTTTGTATATTTTTCTTTCGCGCTTTTTGATTTGTCGAAAATTTGTTAGAATTATCGATTTCAAGTCGGATCGATGAATCGAGTGTCTGTCAGACTCGTCCTGCCTGTCGTCATTTTACAACAATTTCCTAGAAAAACAACGAACTCTTTTTTTGTTTTTGCCTCTCTCTTTCTCTCCTTCCTTCTCTCTCTCTTTCCTCCTCTTTTTCTCTTTCTCTCTCGCGAGTCAACGGTCACGACAGATCTGTATACGCTCGCACGCGGCGTCAAACTGACAAGGGTTGGGAAATCCGCCACCCTTCGTGCCGACCAATGTGTGAATGCAGAGCGCATGATCTACCCCTCTCCCTTAGCGATGCACCGAGTTTCGCGCCGCTTTCCGTTCCCAACGCTTTAGTCTAGATCTTAATCTTAATCTTTCGTGCACCATCTCTGTACAGTTTTATAGCTTTCCTACTGGGACGTATGAATAAAATGAAGCTTTTGCTTTTATCCGTCATGACGGTCGTTGCGAAAAATACATGTATACAGGGTGTTTCAAATTAAATTTATCTTCCATGATCTGGGAATCTTCGGATTTTAATTTTGAATCAAGTTTTTCTTATCTTTCTTTAAAAATTTAATGAAACATTTTTTTTTTTATTTTTTTTAAATTTCGACATTATATATCTCAGTAATTAAATCTTAAGATAAAATTCTGTTGAATGGACTCCACTGTAAATTTATCTCTAAAGAATCAACTTTTATTAGTCACACATTATCAAAACTGCAGACAAGATTTCAAAAAGCTCTTGATTTTAATTCCAAAATTATTTTTATCTCGATATTATTATAAAGGAATTATTAATTAGTTAAAAAATTATCTAAAAAATTTGTTAATCAAAAAGAACGCTACTGATTTGAGACACCCTGTATTATGCATCTCTTTACGCATAAACTTCAAGTTTTCGCTTTGACAATGAGATAAAAGACTGTAGCAGTCGCTATGGAAACATGAATTAAAAGTTGCGTTTATTATGCATAAATAAGTTTTCATAAAATGAGAATAAAAGTTTATTATCTGTGAAAAAAACTAGTTCAACAAAAATAAAATTTATAGCTTTGCTTTAAAATAAAATGTTTATATGGAATACATCGCTTTGATAAGTTTTTACTTAATTTCGTAATGTATCTTAATGGATAGATTATTGATTTACAATTAGTACCATATGTTTCGAAAATTCAATGGTACTCTTTTTATTTATTCTGTATCGCGCGTAATACAGATCAACAGTTTCATTTAGCGGAAATTTAGAATATATAACGTGAGATTTATTTTTTTAATTATTTTCTAATGTATATTAATAAATACACAGTTCGGTTACTGATTTTATTTCATACATTTTATACATATTTGAATCTTTTTATTTTGTAAATCAATACGTATATTATTCGTAAAACATAAAATACACTTTTCTTCATGTATGTTCATTAAAAAACAGATGATTTTAATTTTTGCCTTTTGCTATGAAGATTTACATTATCTTTATACATTTGACCCATTTTATCGTTCGTTATGTCGCGTTTCATTTTGTATTGTAAATATTGGAGGCCATAAAGGGTAGTTAATATAGAGAAAATAAATAGAAAAGTTTATACTGGGGAATGGATAGCTAATATTTGATTGTAGTCATTAAATTTGAGAAAAAGTACAAACCAAAGAATTTCATGCCAAAATAATTCAACTTGCCACACAATCATATTACCATAAAAGCGATAAATGAGTAATTATATAATTAATATAAATAGATAAGGATAAAGATAATAAAGATAAATAGATTAAATAAGTCGTGGAAAATGTCATGTTACACACATTTTGGGTTTCCTTATATTTTATCAAGATATTTTACCAGAAATAATCCAGATAATATATGTATGTAAAAGCTTCAATAAAATTTATCATTAAGAGAGATGCTTTGATTTTAACAAATTAAATTATGCCTGAATGTTCGAGAAGAAATTTAGATATTTAAGATATTTAATATTTTTTCCTATTGTTTTTCATATTAATTTTAGACATAAATCTGTTTTACTAAAAATATTATCTCTATCACGCATGATATATAAATTTATAGAATCCTTATCGTAGAATTTGCAAAAATGTTTTCCAAAAATAACATTGCTTCCTATATTTTATGTTTAATTTTTCAGTTTCAAAATATATCTGTTCAAACGCAAAACACATTTTGAGTGAATTAAGAGTAAAATTGGATTGAATGACGCTTTAACTATTGAAATCCGTGTGAATTAAAAACATCATAAAAGGAAACGAACGAATGTAGCTTGGGGAAAAAAAAAAGCATAGGAGACACAAAAATGTAGAAAACGCGTATGCGGGTAGACCTGTCATACAAATGGATTCCACTTACCGGGTTATACGGTAACGTCATCAATGACTTGTCTCCTTTGTACGATGTCCATCGCACTGATATGAAACAATATTAAACAACCAATTATAATCGCATGTACATATATGTACATTGAAAAAAAAATTATTAACTTGTCTAAATCCGTTCGACTAATTATCATTTTTTTAATTGAAATATTTATATATTTAAGTCAAATACGACATATTAAATCTAACATGACGTATATTTGACTTAAATATTTCAATTTAAAAAATAGTAATTAATTGAACGGATTTAGTAAAGTTAACAATTTCTTTTTCCGGTGTATGTGTATTGCGGATATATTCTATAAAATCAGACTTTTTACACAACAAAAGACGTAGCCTTTTCATAAAATGCCGAATCCTTGTAAGCTGGCGTTTTATAAAAAGTCTACGTTTTTTGTAAAAAGACTGAATTTATGAAAAGCTTGCACACACACACACACACACACACACACACACACACACACACGCCGAGAAAATATATTGATGAATATATACGCGTTATAATTGTTATGCACAACTTATTTTCATAGAATAAAATTTGCTGGAAGAGAAAGAGAGAGAGAGAGCGAGAGAGAGAGAGAGAAATAGAGAAAGGTACAAAGAAAGAGAGAGAGACAGACAAAGAAGAAGAGAGGGAGAGAGACAGACGGAGAAGAAGAGAGGTAGAGAGACAGACAGAGAAGAAGAGAGGTAGAAAGATAGACAGAGAAGAAGAGAGGGAGAGAGACAGACGGAGAAGAAGAGAGGTAGAGAGACAGACAGAGAAGAAGAGAGGAAGAAAGATAGACAGAGAAGAAGAGAGGGAGAGAGACAGACGGAGAAGAAGAGAGGTAGAGAGACAGACAGAGAAGAAGAGAGGTAGAGAGACAGACAGAGAAGAAGAGAGGAAGAAAGATAGACAGAGAAGAAGAGAGGGAGAGAGACAGACGGAGAAGAAGAGAGGTAGAGAGACAGACAGAGAAGAAGAGAGGTAGAGAGACAGACAGAGAAGAAGAGAGGAAGAAAGATAGACAGAGAAGAAGAGAGGGAGAGAGACAGACGGAGAAGAAGAGAGGTAGAGAGACAGACAGAGAAGAAGAGAGGTAGAGAGACAGACAGAGAAGAAGAGAGGAAGAAAGATAGACAGAGAAGAAGAGAGGGAGAGAGACAGACGGAGAAGAAGAGAGGTAGAGAGACAGACAGAGAAGAAGAGAGGTAGAGAGACAGACAGAGAAGAAGAGAGGAAGAAAGATAGACAGAGAAGAAGAGAGGGAGAGAGACAGACGGAGAAGAAGAGAGGTAGAGAGACAGACAGAGAAGAAGAGAGGTAGAGAGACAGACAGAGAAGAAGAGAGGAAGAAAGATAGACAGAGAAGAAGAGAGGGAGAGAGACAGACGGAGAAGAAGAGAGGTAGAGAGACAGACAGAGAAGAAGAGAGGTAGAGAGACAGACAGAGAAGAAGAGAGGAAGAAAGATAGACAGAGAAGAAGAGAGGGAGAGAGACAGACGGAGAAGAAGAGAGGTAGAGAGACAGACAGAGAAGAAGAGAGGTAGAGAGACAGACAGAGAAGAAGAGAGGAAGAAAGATAGACAGAGAAGAAGAGAGGGAGAGAGACAGACGGAGAAGAAGAGAGGTAGATACACACACACACACACACACACACACGCCGAGAAAATATATTGATGAATATATACGCGTTATAATTGTTATGCACAACTTATTTTCATAGAATAAAATTTGCTGGAAGAGAAAGAGAGAGAGAGAGCGAGAGAGAGAGAGAGAAATAGAGAAAGGTACAAAGAAAGAGAGAGAGACAGACAAAGAAGAAGAGAGGGAGAGAGACAGACGGAGAAGAAGAGAGGTAGAGAGACAGACAGAGAAGAAGAGAGGAAGAAAGATAGACAGAGAAGAAGAGAGGGAGAGAGACAGAGAGAGAGAGAGAACGCAAAATTATTCTTAATATTCCGACTTGGTATATTTAAATATTAATTATTCGAAGCTTTCTTAAATATCGAGATCGACAGAAAATATTGATGTTGCATCAATGTGTGTGTGTGTGTTCGTTAAAATAATTGAAAGAAAGAGATAAAAAATTTAAAATAAGAGAGTTAAATATTTTCATCGTCAGCTATATCTCTTTCCGGAAGAAAAATTTCAAGGATTGTATCTCGAACGTTCGAAATTAACATGACACGTGATTCAAAAATCTTTTAATCAATCCTCAGTTTTTCCAGGACCATTAGAATTCGCGGATTAAAATGTGATTTCTGCACATTCCCTTTAACGTACCTGTCCTTTCCTTCTTTTTTTTTTTTCGCAGCGTGCTACGTAATCAACGCGCATAATCGTATTAAATATCGAGGAATACGGTTAGCCGCGAATAACACGCGTTAATTAATTCTATTATGCGTTCGCCCGGTACAAAAGTTTCGTTCACTCGCGATATTTCATCGATAATTTATCCACGACGAAATGAAAACTACGAATAACACACGAGACGACGTTTGAACCGACCTTCGATGGGAGAAGGCGCGAAATAAACATGGCGGATTTTTGTGAACACTGCCGAATATGTTTACCAACTGCGAACGCAATACCGCTAAAAATAATATCGTCGGTCAATATCATGCGTCGTAACAAATAACAATGTATTGAATACCGACAAGTCTATATAATTTAATACTATTATGAAATATTGCGCGATACAACACGCACATGATGAAAATACGATACCTCCTTTCAATGAAATATTTTCAAACAAAAAGTGCGGGAAAATACGAATTTGGAATACGTGAAATTTATATAGTGAGTTATGTACAAAATTATTGTAGCAAAAGCGCGATTTTATCGATATTATTTACATATAAATAAAGCTATTTATTTATTTAAAAAAGATAATTAGAATTTTATAATGTGTGTGTGTGTAGTATATTTTAAGACAAATAAAAATTTTTATAGTCTTTGTATATTTTTATATTCATAAGAATTTGAAAATGGGAAACTCATGACTTACATGTTTATCTTTGGATTTAAATTACTTTTATATGTCTTTATTCGTCTTTTTCATATGACAAACGTACAGAAAACTTAGATGCATCGCGTCATGTTTTATATAATAAATGCGTCTCATATCACCAG